ATCCAAAAAACTATAAACTCGAGAATTTCATTTTTGCTTTTATCGTGCAGAATTTTAAACGTCATGTTTTCCTCATCTTTTATTCCGTTTTTCGAAACATATTCGTTATATTGAAACAGAAAAACAGATCTGCGACTACATGCAACAATTTCCTGCTTGTCATGACCTATAAAGAAATCAATTATGTATATAATAATTATAGAAGATGACACGCTTTATTTTTCATCTGTGATTAATCGATTTCTCTACATATACTTTCACACATAAACCACCTGAATAAACTTCAACTGTCGAGACACATTTAATTTGTTCTTTTCAGCTGAACTTCTTGCATTATTCATTTTTCTTCTTTTTCTTTCCACATTGAAGAGATAAAGTACGTGGAAAGAGAGAGATCAGTACAAAAAGAATAGACCTGTTGACTAATTGTAAACAGGTTTTCTCATAATTATTTTTCGTATAGCATACTCGAAATATTTTGTTAGCAAGTGTACAATATAACAAGAAAAGATAGATAAAAATTTCAAACTAACTTTATACCGCGCTAGTAGCCGTTTACACAGGAAACGACGACATGCGAGCACGTGGCAAGAAGTAGCGCGGCAGCCAATCAAATACTTTTTCGGAAAAACGGATAGGTTATTGGCTGTCGCGCTCATACTTCGTTCATTGTCGAGAATATTCTGTTCTATCACGTTATATTTGCCAATATAGCTGAGATATTCTGATAATCTGATTAATTCCGATTTTTTCATTTATTTCCAAACGTGCAGTTTGGTTCGACGGATTATATTCCAGGTATTGGCAGATATTCATTAAAGAAAGAAATTGCAATTAGAGAATAGTACGGATAAGTACGGCTGTACGGAGGTTAAGTTGCAAGTCGAAATATCGAAAAATGTATCTAATGTATTATTTGGACGACAAAGGAAACAGAGTGTACACTTTACAGGTAATTTCTTGTGACATGTCGCACTGTGTAATATATATATGTATAGAGGTATATAAGGTTAGGAAAATTAAAAAGTTACTCATTGTAAAAAGTAAATAATTATGAGTTTGATTGTGATATCGAACATAACACCTTCTTTCTTTTAAAATTCACTTATACATGTCCTATACACATATACTTCTTGCATGTGAATAAAATAACGTAAAAGACATGTGATTAATTCGTTACCTAAAACGTAACTGCATTACCGTTACTAGTAAAAAATATAACGTTACCAACCTAACGTTCCTTACCTAACAAAAAATAATAGTAATAGTGCTACAAGTAATGCATTACTTCTCAATCTAATATATTATTTTCCAGAGCAATATAACATACCTTCTCGAAAATGCTATTAGCACTATTTATGTTATTCTAGCCTTATATATCATTCATGAAGCATTAAAACAAAGGATTAAAATAAGAATAGAATAATATAACTAATGCTCCCTGAACGCATTTGTAATATGGTAGAATATATTGCACAATATATATCACAATATGAATTAGCATATTCATAATAGAATTAAATATATATTATCACATATATCTTTGTAATCGTTTTAAATACTAATTCTATACATTATTTTTTCTATAGTAATTTTCTTTTCTAACAAAATCTTTTTATCTAATTTTATTTTTTTTTTCTTTTTTTAATTGCTAAATTTTTATAGAAAGTGGACCCTAATGGAAAGCCTACCATGTCCGCGCATCCAGGTAAATTTTTACACTTTTGTTATATAAATACTTTATGTAGAATTAACAAAAACAAAAGGCATGATATTGAATGTTTTTTAGCTCGATTTTCTGTAGAGGATAAATATTCAAGAGAAAGAATTATAATGAAAAGAAGATTTGGCCTGCTGTTGACGCAACAACCACAACCTAGCTACTAATATTAAATATATAATTAATTTTATTTGAAAATATAAAATATGAATGAAGAAAGTGTTATGATGTGGGCCTGATACAACCAAGTACGATAATCTATATCTCAGTAAAGGGGTGATTCAACTTTTACACCCACAACTTCCTTTAATGATAACGAGGAAAAATCTCTGTACTAAAGATTATTATTCTACATCATGGAATTGCATCCATTGTTGCAACTTCATAACAACCTTAATAAAAAGTTATACTTCCACTGAAAATTTTTCAATGTAACTTAGATATTAATTATTTTGTATATTGTTCTGTTCCGTTGATAGTAAATAAATCATTTCTAACGTATCAAATTCATTGTCGATACATATATTTACTGTATAAATTTCATTTACAGTTTATTATCTTCGCACATTATATAAAAAATAAAAACTTATATACACAGTACTTTTCCTGACTTGCAAAATATAATAATTTTATTTCCAAAATGGTAATAGATTGCTTATTTGCAATCTTATTACTTTAACATGAATAGCATGCTTGCCAAAGCTTGCTAAATTAATAACATATGAATAACGTATACTATTATATATAACAAAAATTTTTAATATAAAGCGGATATTAATTTACATTCAACTATTTTACAATTCTTAATTATTAACATATTGATGTATGATTTTATTTCATTTATTGATATTAAGAAATATAACAAAATCTATATACAATATCCTTTATCACAATTATACATCAAATGCAAGCATTTAATTGTCAACGTTATTTAGAATAATGCATAATTACGTAACTTTTAAAATGGATATGCATAGTTGATAGAATATATATATTCTAAAATGAAAAGTGAATTAAACATGATTGTATTTTGCATAAGAACAAATTTTATGCGAATTGATTTTTTCCATTTTTATTTTGAAAATTATATATCACAAATTGTATATGTGTGCGTATAGTTGAAATGTCAATATGGTATCCATATTCATATAAACTGAATGCAAATATACGCTTATTACATAATTCTAATCTAAAAGAAACTAAGATGTAATATTACAAATTTGTTTAAATAGATATGATATATGTAATATTTAATTTTATTCTTGAAGTATATACTACAGCACACACACAATTTTGAGTATTAAATTAGAACATTATAAACATTTATTATTTGAATATTATAAATGAAATCCTTTTTTGCATAGGAAATATAATATACAAGTTTAAATTATAATTCTAGGTATATATTAAATTGATTAAATTGAATTTTTTTAACAAATATTAGAAAAATATATAATTAAATATATATTTTAGTTAATTTATATTTATACGCGATCTTTTGCAATATTTTAAAAACATAAAAGCTTTATTCAAGTAATAATGACATTTTATCTAGAATATAACACAATAAATTATTTGATTAAAGTATATTTTATTAACTATGCACATCCCTAACTTTTATATATATATATATAAATATTTGGTACAACATTACCACCAAAATTATATTATCATTATTATATTAAAAAATAATTTGAATATACATATTTTAAACGTAGGATCAACAAATATAATAAAAATAGATATTTTCGCTAAATATATAATAAATATAATAGATAGCATAAATGTATTACGTTATTTAATAGAAATACTTTCTACAAAAAATTGATAATAAACATAGTTTTGTATAAATTTTAAAATAATCTGTAACTTAATAACTATGAATAATCGAGAGTATTTTGTGATTATCTTACATTTATAAAATTAAAAAATTATAAATAGCAGATCAATAATATTCTAGAAAACATGGCAACACAAGAAAAATGTATCTAATAATCCAATTCTGATGAACAAACACTAACAAATATAATGTAAATTGTTTTTCTTCATAGATATATTTTTTAATTGAACTGTAAGTATTATTAAACGAACACAATATATAGCATTAAATAAATTCCTAGTTTACGTATCAAATTTATGTTCATAAGAATTTACTATATGTTACAATTTAACATAGTAAAAATATGTAACATTTATTCACAAGCTTATGAGTATATTGCTAACAAGTATTTGTACAAATTTTACATGTATTTGTATTTTATAAAAGAAAAATTCTTATATTACCATTTTTCTTAAGATACTAAGATGGTACTAAAATATTTAAACAAAAAAATGATTGCAGAGCAAACAAGATTCAGCTGTTGCTAAATTGTAAATAAATGTGGGACAAAAAAGAAAATAGAAAATGAAAGAAAACATCGTATGCGTAAAATGATAAAAATATATAAGTACATAATTTAGGATATAGATAGCAAGTTCTCTCAATATTTATCATAACTGAATCATTGAGAATTGTCGAGAAGTCGAATATTTTCTATAATATTTCTTGTGATATACCCTAGATACCTCATATTATTGCAATTACATGATTACTTTCAGATAAAATTTAATTCAATTATAAAATGTAATAATTATATATGTTAAATACAATGTTTCAATACAAAATTCGAGTATATATTTAGCTAGAAGCTTTAGAATCTTCATAATTTTTAAATAAAGATATTTTTTATGGCATCATTATAATTATTAATCAAAAAGTTCTTCTTTTTTTTTTAAAGATGAGTGGCTTTGGTAATATAAAATTGAAGTGAACTGTAAATCTTATAGAAATAAATAAATATTAAACTATTGTACTTAACGCCGATTTGGTTATTTCAAAATATTTATATGATAACTTAAGTCTTATCTACTATGAATTTAAAATGAGGTATTTACATAATTATATATTCACTTTGATACAAAAAACAACTTGTAATTACTTCTTAAACTCTTCCTAAATAAAGATGTTCATGACTCGTTACACACAAAATCAAAGAACATGTATACATCTTTAACAACAATTTATACATCTTTAATTAGATTCTGATGGAACTGCTGGCAGAACATGCACCTGTTGTGCTTTACTGGCATTATACACTTGTCCCGGACTAAATGGTTCTAATCGAGGACCAGATCCTAAATCATTTTTATTACGGACGATATCTTAAAATGAAAACAAATAAAACAATTACAAAATTTCATACAACTTAGAGGTAAACGTAATATCTTTTTCTTTGAAATTATAATTGATAATTTTAATAAAAATTAGATAAATTTGTTCACAAATTAAATAATGTACGTAATATTTAGGCATAATATGCAAAATATTTAAACTTACCATTTTTCGATTCTGTTGCAGGTATATACCGAGATAATCTAACAACAGGGAGAGGCAAATAACCACTTGTCAGAGGCATTACATCTAATGTAACGCTTTGTTTCTCTACTATTTCTAACGATACAATGCCTGCTGTCCGACCACATACCGCCCACATAGTTTGGTCCGCCAAAACCTCGTACATTAACTGTGGTGGAGGATTTGAACTAAGACTAGGTATGCGCATGACTGTAAGACACAAGTGGCACATACTACCAGCACGACAAAATTCACCACCATTTGTTTCGACTTTCGAGGATACTGTGAATAAAGTCTGGAAAGCATCGTTACAAAGATAAGTTATATATTCCTAATATATAATAAGAATACAGAGCATAAGATTTTACAAGTATAGATACTACATTATTACAGATTGTCATTAATCCATGACTTCTTGTTTAAAATAAATAAAATATTTTGAAAGAAGTATACAATATGTAATTGTATACATTTAACATATCAATTAATAATTAATAATTTTTCTTACCACATAATCTGTAATATCAAAGTTGCATCTGTAAACACTACATGCTTTTTCAATTCTTTCTAGATTATGTATATGTAGTGGATCATCATCAACATGTGTATCATTTAATTCTTCAGTATCATTAACTGATATATATTTTACACGAAAGTCAGTCTTTATTGGTATCGTGGATTTCTCATCTTTCCCAATTTCAAATTCCCACATAAAGGAAACGTTCATTCCATTACCTATAAGTAATTTCTGACCCGCAATAGGATTTAAACTTTTAAAGTTAACGTCTATTGACGAAATTGTCATTAATTCAGGCTCAGTTAATTGTAAAAGCTGACTTGTCAAACCAGTTACGACTATTTGAATAAATTTTCTTTGTTTTGCTGTGTGAAGTTTCATACTTGACATTAATGGTGGACCAAAATGCAAAGGTATACTTTCTTCCGAACCCCATGGACATTGAATATTCAACTAAAACAATTTCAAGTAATGATATTTAGTTATGATATTTATTGCACAAAAGAGAATAATATAAATTATAAATGTTAAATACTTTATGTTCCATAGATGAAGAATCCTTCTTTGGTGGTAGTTCAGCTAAAATTTTTAACTGTATTTTTATGGTTTGAAATGGTTCGCACGTTGGCAGTGGTATCTCTAACTCTTTTACCATTACTTTTTCAACACTTTGTGATTGTACTGTCAATCCGCGTGATGTACGTAATTTTAATTTCATTTCTTCGGTTATTTTTGTACTTCCACTCGATATAACTAATTCAATATCTTGAGTAAGACCTGCCAATAAATCTCTGCCACATTTTACGGATATCGTTGGCTGTGTCTTTGCTACTTCGTAGCATAATCTTGGATTTAGTACAGATGATAAAAATTCTAATTTTTCTTCTATCACCAATGATAACTGGCTAACTTTGTACAAACCCGGTTGATTCACTCGTCTTGTTAAGACAAATGTATTTACACCAGGTTTCATAACGAATTCATCACAGGAAAGTGCTTTGCTAAAATCACCCTTTATATTAATTGAAGGTTTTCTATGTTTTGCGCTATCTGAACGCCTCACGAGCGGCTTCATGTTTTTACTAATAACACTAGCAGAACCAAGACTTCTATCTTCCTTGTAATCCAAATAAGAATATACTTGCAAACGTAATAAACTGAGATCAAGTAGTTTCATATCTTCTAATGTACACTTTGATAACCTGAGCAACAAAACAAAGTTGAACAAAAATTTAACGTATAGAAAATAGAAAATACTAAAAAAATAAAATAAGCATTATTGTAAATATGATATTAAAATAACAATGTAAATACATTATTTTTTACAATTTCATTTTAGAATTTTTTTCTTTGTAGTATATATTAAACATTATATATGAAATTTTTGTAAATAAAAGTATTTTATTCATTAATACTTACAATTGAACTGGAGGATCAATAGATTTTAATCCTTTTTTCTTATTAGGTATAGATGGCTTTTGCATTTCCTCTACAGAAATAGCGGCGCTAGTGCATCTTACTTCTCGAGGAAATAAACTCTGTACACTGATTTCAACGTTAACTACACAGTCTTGAACTATTTTATCCATTACTTTAGCTTCCATACTGAGTATTGTAAAAGCACATCCAAGTTCCGCGAGTAATGATTGAGGCGAAGAGATCATTTTCATATATCCTAGCATTTCTTCCAAATATGTATTGCGTACAGTTATATGCAAAAGACTTGCGCTAGCTACTGCCGCGCACACTTTAGTATATTTCTCGACATCGTCCATCCGTTTGTAACATTCGGCTAACTCCAACTGTGTTTGCACTGCCAAGTGATGCCATCCTTCGTCCATATAAGTTTTTAAAGCATCAGATAAAAACGCTACTGCTTTCTGATTTTCTCCGAGTTCGCTGTAGAATCGTGCCAATTCTTTGCCAATTAATCTGGCTGATCGAATACGGCCGACATGTTTATATGTGCCCATGGCTAATTCTGCATGTTCCAAATATTGTTTCTTGAATGCTTCTTTGGATGAAAGTGCCTCTTTTAACTTGTCTGTAGGGGTTAATTTTCTTTCTACTTGTGGCTCTGAATCTCCTATACCTGCTATAAGATACACAACTGTATGCAACTGCTCACTAGTCGGTTCACTTCCTGGCATTAGGCCGCACAATTTTCCTAAGCTTCCTAACTAAAAAAGAAAAATATATACATATATATATATATAATAGGATATATGTAAAAAACATATGTAATAGAAATCCAAGGAGGATTACATATCATTTAATTATTTATTAGCAAATAATAAATAAATAAAATAATGTCAAACATAATATAGCAAATTATTTACCTTATCTCTTGCAAGTGCCCACAAACTAGCTGTATGTAAAGAGCACAAATCTAATTGTTGATTGTTATCGATATTATTGGTGCACAATTGACATGCTTGCAAGACCTCTAACGCACAGAGGAATGACCAGCATTCTATAGAGCCTTCAGGTTTCTGTACCTCTAAGATTCTTAGCTCACTTAATGTATTATGAACAAATGATAAGCACCTTTGTGCAACCTGTCAAGAATATTCAGTAACAATTATAAAATATGATAATTATGTAAAGCTATTAATTATCAATAATGTGTTGAATTTATACGAACCTCCCAAGGTTTATTAAGCAGGAGTAGCATGGCACATTGTCTACTAAACAAATAACTCCTAAGATCTAATAAAGATGCCCTACATTCAGCCAAAAGAAACCTTAGACGGTGATTTGTACCGTTATTTAAATTCACACCTCCCCAATTGTTCAGAGGCGTTTGAAACAGACCCAACCATCCTGGAGTATCTATAAACAGTTTATCTACATTTAATTTTTCACTTGCATCTCAATATCTGTTCTCATTGCATAATGTATATTTTTAATACAAACTAAATATTTAAAAAATAAACCACAATACCTCCTACATTAGAATTGAGCACAAATTGTGTAAAGAGAGCGTCTAGTTCATCATACTGTACCAATGCCTCATCGTACAAACCCAGCATTTGCAATACAAATGCCAATTCTTCCTAAAATGCCAATTCAATTGAATAATGGGAAAAGTACAAGTTTCAAAATTAATATTAAAAAATTCAAAAAGTAACACGTCGTTCCATAGAGAACGACTAATTCGTCAATGAGTCTAGAGTTTAATTTCAACTCTCATCTCAAGAGTATATTAATTATTAGTTAAGTATATTCTCTCTTTTATAAGAGATAGGAAAACTGAGGATCAGTATATTACGAGATATTATAAATGAAAAAACATTAGATATATTATAATTTCGAGAATCCATATTTTATGTAATATTTAATTCTTTGTGAAATAATTCAGTAGAAATGAAAATTTATAGCAAGCATTACCTGTAAAAGAAAATAATGGCAGAAATTCCAACTAGGATTGTTCCGCCTTTCTCTCTGTTCACGTATAATATCTTCAAAACGCGACAGGGTTCTGTCATATGCAGTCAACATCAAATGACGAATACGAGTTATCAAGCCTCTCCATGATTCCGCGGAACGAGATTCAGATTTAATTGGATTAATTACAGCAAAGCATCTGTCAAATAGATTATGGATATAAATACATTTCTATATTATGTTACAAGATTAATAATATAAAAGATCATATCGTATTACCTGTCGCCATTTTTAGCGGCAAAGTCACTTCGTATTTTATCTAAGACAGTAGTCCTAGGCAACAATTTATTGGCCTTCTTTACATCATATGTTTCTACCAATACAATCATCCAATCTTGAATATGATATAAATTTAGTATTTTTAACCAGGCATCAATATCATCTCTGACACTAGTCTTATAAGAATCAACATCCTAGAAGAATATGTAATATGAAAATTTATTTGTTAAATTATTAAGAACATGAATATTAAATATTGTAATCTACAGATGCTTCTAATATCGTAATAATAATAACTTTTTATTTAGAATAATTTAATATTATTTTAATAAATTTAACATACAATTTTTAATATATTTTTAATATAATAAATAAAAGACATATCATTCCCTATATAAATATGTTATATATAATAAAAAATTAATTCAAATGAAGGACTTACAGAACATTCTGTCCAATAAATATGAAAGATTGGTTGCTTTATGAGATGCCAATCTTTGTCAGTAGGCAAAATATCTCTGGAAAATGGCACAAAAGTAGCCCCAAGTTTGACTTGTTTAATTGGCCTGCTGAACGATCGGCGCCATTCCACTGTATCCATAGGTATAGCTTGGAGTAAATTCTTTTCCAATGTAGAAAATAAATTTTCATCCCCAGCACCTGTATCATTACACAAAAATTATTATATTCCAATCCTATGTCATCTGCTTTGAGAAATGAAGCAGCAGATTAGCATAGGTCAAAATGACATCCTACATGCATTGGATTACTCATTTGTGTTATAAGAAACTGTTGCAAAGTCCACTTTGTACATTTGCTACATGAATAGACCTCTTTTTAGCTGAACTTTTTGCATCTTTTCATTTTTTTTTCCTCCAATATGAAGAGAAAAAGAGGAAAAAATGAACTGTGCAAAAAGTTATACTGAAAAGAACAAACCTTAAATTAAAGTTATGTGATATCGATAGCAAGAATTAAAGGAATTAGGCAAAATACTAAATTAAGTCTTGCAAGATATTAAATTATCTAAAACAACATAATAATAATTCGCATGATATATTTTTTGATGAAAACATAAAGTTGACATATGTTTCTTAAGAAAAGAAAAATCCAGAGACACGCATTATTGATGATACAAATTTTATCCAGACATCGATTATCTCGGTTGGATGAAAGGAAACAAGAAACACTGTCACGAGAATTGACAGATGGACGGGCAGGAGGGGGGAGGGTGTCAAGAATGGTGCCTGAATGTCGCGTTATCAGCGCGACACGGAGGGGCGAAGCGGGGGAGACGATCGCGGCGAAACTCACAGGTGACGATCGGTCTGCTGTCCACAGAAGCGCCCGCCTTGCATGCCTCGCCAGCCACGGACGATCCCCCATTGCAATTCATCGTTTCTGAGGACTGGCGGTGCGCCTCGCGAACTCGCTGCTCCCGATCGGGCCCACGGTCATAACTCTTCGTCCCTCTCTCGCCGGCGCGCATATAGGAACCCTCTGCCAAGTCGCTCGGGGATCCGGGTTTCGCCGAACCCGCCGCGAGCGGACAAGTGACTCTAACTAACGTGGTCTCAGAGGCGATAAAAAGACGAGCCGAACGTCCATAAGCATCGTTCACCTCGCACTCTCAAGCTCCATTGAGGTTGGGAATGTTGGGATTCTTTAGACATCTGTTCCTTATACTGCGTTGACTTACACTTTCCGCACTTGAAATGAGAAAAAAAATATCACACAATTGCACATCAAAATGAGAAAGAAGAAGGACGAGAAGTGCAGAAAGTGTAATTGTTGCGATGTGCCGTTTTGTATCGATTCGTGGAAAAGCGGGGCTCTCGATATATCGTGTCATCGCGATATTCGTCGCTTTTCAACACTTCCGATTGGCTGTATGTTTATCAAAGTGACATGATCTTTGTTCGTTTATATTCTCTGCATTTACACCTTTTATTTTTCCCTTCCTCTTCAACGCTAAATTATATATAGATTTCCCTCTGTATGTATCCATCCCGTTTTAAGTGCAGAAAGTGCAATGACGCAGTGACAATTTCGCTTGTTCGTTTACTTCGTTCCACTTGAATAGAATTAAACGTAGTATTCTATTCAATTCCTTTTAAAATGCTTTTTACAGCCGATCGTTCTAAAAATTGTGCTTCTTCGCGATGGCATTGTCATGCTGTTTAAACTAAACGTGAAAGTTTGACACATTCTTATTCTCATGATATCTTTACTTTTAATTACGAGACATTTCGCAGCAGTTTCATCGACTTTTGCATTACTTTGCGCTGCGAATTTGTTTGAATTACAATTTCTCCAATTCTTTTTTTAACTCCTTATCCAAGTATTCTTAATTTTTTATAAAATTTTGAACGTGCATATACGATTGTTAAAGTTAGTAGTTATACCTAATATAATACATTTTACATAACCTTTCGTTATGCCAGCCAAAACGATTATTCCGCTTTAAAAAATTTAATAACAAAAAATATGGTCCCGAGAAATTTAAAAATACCCGGCGATGTGATCCCTTCGAAGAAGGAAAGTCAAGGCTACATCGATAATTTAAAAAAGAAAGAGAGATTTCAGTTGGAAGAGCTTTTAGAAAGGCAGAAAAAAATTCTTGCTAATAAGTAGGTAGGACGTGAACTATTGAATCTTAATGTTTCGAACAATCTTGAAGCATCTTGTTTTCTTTTTAGAAAATTTATCTCAACGCTTCCCGACAAAGGAGAGAAAATTATAAGCTTCTACAATAAGATACAGAAGGAACTTGAACACAGAAATGAAGTGGAAGAAGCAGCTAATGTACTGTCGCGGCTTAACATAGCATCCGAAGGCAAAATAGCTATGAGTAAACTAGAATGGACAGGAAAATATAATGAAAGGGATGATGAAAATATGACTAAAATCGTTGACTTAGATAGTGATGACGAGGAGGATCCACTAAAAATACTAGCACAGGTTGATAGATCTTGCTTATAATATTGGTAATAACTTTTGTCAATTGATATATATGTATATATATGGATTATTATGCTTTAACAGCCTACAGGAACTGGTGTTCACAAGAAGAAAATTATACATATAGTACCTGAAGAAAACCTCATTAAACCTGAAGATATAGCAGAGATTGAAACTTTTAAAATAGATCCTTTAAACACAGAGCATGTCAAGTATATCGTTGATAAAGTAGAGAAAGTACAGGAAATGAAAAAAAGGGAGCCATTTAAACCACATAAAACAACAAAGAGCAACGTACATGATCCAATGAAGGAAAAACAAAGAAAATTACATAAATATTGGGAAGTCACGGCAGCTACACCACCTCTTATAGTTCACGGAGCAGCTAAGGTTCTGAGTTTGAACGAATCTTTAAAATTACAGAAGGAACAAACTGAAAAATTACAGGTATTTGACATTTTCTATTTTTTATATCTTTTCATTCTTTTCAGGGACTAGAAAAAAATTTTAATATGACATTTTAATATTTAACAGAAAATTCAAGCGAAACATGCAGTGGAACGTCTAGCTAATCAAATAGAATATAGTATTGGTCCTACACCACAAAATGTAGGCAGTTACCGCACACAATATATGAACGGTTCACTTTCCTCGTCTTCTTCTGATGATGAAGAGGAACATGAAATGCACGATGAGGAAGATAACGACAGAAGTGGAACAGTTGTATTTACTATAGATTCTATAGAAAGCTAACAAAGACTGTTAAATATTGCGAATATGCACGACAAATTAATTCTAATATTAATTTATTTTTGCTTTAATAAAATCGTTTTCCTTACATGATTCTGTATATAATATATTTCAATTTTTTATGTCGAGTTTGGAGGTGAAAGAGTATTCTGGATTAGATATTTAAGAGACTTTATTTTTTGTTTTTGTAACACATATGTTAATTGTATCCAAAATTATTGATGATCGCTGTATACGGTGCCGTTGCTTTGGCAACTGATTCACCAGCTTGCTTGGTAAGTTTCTACAAACAAAATTTAATAATTAGTAAATCTCGAATATTTACATACAAAAATCTTTGGAAAGAAATCACATCGTTGGATGTGAAATATGACCAATCTTTAATGTGTTAACTACCTTAAGTTTATTCCTCTTTTGAACTTCAAGGATGGCTCTGGCACGTCTCTTGTTCTCCAACGTGCGAACCACATCCTTATACTTCCATCCAACTTCATGAGACAATCTACCCACGTGACAGTACTGAAAATCAAAATTATATCAGTATCCATATTGCTTCAATATTTCGACAAACTATTTTGTATAAAATTTTATAACTCAGTTTAATAGATCATCATAATAGTCAAGTAGACTAATTTCAGACGCAAATTACCATACCATCATTGTTTTTTCATTAAACAGAAACAAAATTCAAGTATAAAAGAGACAGTTTAAACAAATTTAAATATACATAATACATCTTACTTTTCTGCCTGGTTTGAGGCACATCACTCTCATAGCACCAGGTACAACAACACGCTTCCTGCGGTCATATGGTGGTGGACAACCTTCGTAAACCTTTAGTCGCCTAAGAGCATCTTTACCTCTTTGTGTCTTATGTGGAATCATACCTGTAAATGAGTCTTTTTAATATCTCTTCATTTGCTTCATTATAAGATAGTATATGAAAACATGGCATCATAAAAAATAATTCTTTTCATGACCTCATCAAATAATGTAGGTAAAGGTAAATGTTTGTTAATCATCTGCAATATTTCTATTTTATGTTATGATAATATAATCTCAACTGTACATACCACGAACTGTTTTCCAGAAGATCTTGCTTGGCGCTCGGAAGTGGAATGGACCACGTGCAGGATTTACGTTGCATCTTTTCCTCAGAAAAGACATAAACTTCAACTTGTTCCTGAAAATTGAAAAATATATGTTTAGTATCTATATTGTTTCAACATTAAAACAAGATTGCATAAAATTTTATGATTCAGTTTAGAATTTCTATCATAAAAGTCGGAACAGACTAATTTCAGACGCAAATTACCATACCATCATTTTCCACTATATAATATTAGATAATATTAATTATACTATTGCTCATCCAATCTTTTCTTATATAAAATAAAGTAGAATGAAATAGTACTAGTATTAATAATAGCTGTTACTATCTATTCTTATTAGGTAATAAAATAATAAATATTATAAATCAAATAAGACTCCTTATAATTCAAATAATAATGGACAAAAAAGGTTAACAGAAGTCAACGTAGTAGATTCCAAAAATAAATTTGAAATTAATTTAAAATTTCACATATTTAGTATTTTAACAAATATTTATGAAACTGTAAATTGATTTCAAATTTACTGTTGCAATTTAATTACTTTGTTAACTCCTATTAGCTTTCTTTATTCATCATTTAATAAATTTTATTCAATTATTATTGTTGGTTTTTTAATTAAATACATCAATACTAAAGTAAGAGGTGCGTTCCATTTTACAAAAAAATGTTACACGATATATCATTTTATCATTGTTTTGATGAACAAGGATAAAATAATACATCGTGTGCATCATGAATAAAAAGAAACCAATGCACCCAAGACATAGCTAATAAGAACTTGACAAACCTGAAGAAGTTACCGCTAATGTTGAGTTGCTCACTGCGTACGACGATAACTTTGTTGCCTTGCAGGATGGTTTTGGCAACGATTGCAGCTAATCGTCCAAGTAAATGGCCGCGGCCATCTATTAATATTGGCTAAAACAGTAAAAACCTCTACAGAAATTAAAAATTGACCATCATACAGTACAAATAATTCTTGCTTCTACAATATATTTCTTCGCGTTGCTTGCATTCTTTGCACTCAGCATTTTCGCTCTTTTTTCAACACCTGAATATACATTTATCTCATTTTAAGTGCAAATACTTTGAAAAATTTCAAGCAACGTGGACAGACATATGAGATATGTTCGCGTTGCGTGAAGTCCTCACATATTTTTTCACTTAAAATGAGATAGATACATATTTTGCCTTAAAAAGAAAGCGAAGATGTCGGGTGCCAAAAGTGCAACAGATCTAAAATGTGTTTGCATTACTTGAACTCCTTAAACATTTTTGTATTTAAGATAAATATATATTCAGACGTTGAAAAGAAAGATGCTTGGTACAAAAAGTGCAAGTAACGTGAATAAATCTATAATGCATATAAGTATTATATGGGAGCTACAAGATTCGCAATACATGCAATTTAGAGCATGGAAATATTAAATCGAAAAAATCAAATCTAGTTTGGAATTTATACTATTCGATATACAATGCGTTTCGATCTCCGCGTGGAATATATGATCAGCTTCGGATGCTACCACGTGCATGACGTTAAGTAGCGAAGCAGCTTTTTTTTGGGTAACAGCGAATTTTCGAGAAACATTAAAGGACTCTTGCATTACTCCACATGTTAAGTAATCGCGATTGCGTACATACACCGAGTAAGAGTTACTTAAACTATTAGAAATATCAAATTTCTGAATACGAACCTTCTCGCTGAAGCCCGTCATCCTGGAATCTTACCGGAAAGGAGTCACACAATGAGAGAAACACACGAGTCTCTACCGGAAGACAACTACGCCGCGCACTGCGCGCAGAGCAACGCAGTGTAACCAACGTCAAAATCTGTTTTTACGATTTTTCCCTAGAAGATAAGGAGATCGATTCTGTATCTTCAAATAAGGTAAAAATTAGAAAAGTGAGCAAATTTACTAGGTATTGACCAATGAAATTATCAGTATTTTAGTAAATTCGCTCACTTTTGTCATTTTCATCTTGTTTGAAGATACAGAATTGACCTTCAGTTATAAAAAAAAACAAATTTCATGATAAACACAATGGTTGAGTGAACGCTCAATAATTGTTGTCTACGATTGAAGTAAACTTTTAGATCCATAATAAATCTAGAAGAATGAACCAATAGTTACCAATATCCGTAGAGAAAACTGATCAATGGCTGCGTTTAGCAGACCACAACAATGGGCGAGTTCAAGACGGCAAAAGCGGCTAGGCATGCTTACCGAGCGATTGAATATGATTGGTTGGATCTATAAGTAACAACCAATTACGTTCATTTGCTCAGCGAGCAGGCTAGCCGCTTTGTTAACTTGAACGTGCCCAATTTTACAATTGTTTTGTGATTGTCTGCTAATAATTTAATTTTCTGGTTCTGCTGAACGTAACCATCGAGCGCTTATTGATTTTTTAATATAATTGGTGTGAATTTTTCAAGTTTAAAGCCAATATTCATAATCGGTTTTTATATTTAAAATACTATCTTAAAGTTGTATTCACAGTACTAAGACAGTCTTTTACAGCTTCTACACACAAAATGCGGCAATGCTTGCCGCAATTCAGCCAATCAATTTATTGCTTTTCCATATATAAAAGCCAAAGAATGATTGGCTACTATCTGCGGAAGCCATTAAAACAAGAATAAATTATAAATACGGATCACAGTCCGAATTCAAGTCAGTATTTGAGAAATTTAAAAAATAATTGAATAGGTTCGATTGGAATCCATTTTTGAATAATTTTATATGTACCCTAATTAATTTAATCGGTGATTAAATAAATTATCAAGTAATATAATTATTTCATTTTGTTGACATAAATTTTATAATTATTAATTTCTCATAATTAAATATAAAGATTAGACATTTATTTGCATCGCATGCTCCAATATGCTTCAATATGCTCCTACTCACTCCAACGTGCTCGTTGGAGTAGGATCATGTTAATAATTAGAGTAGCCATGCAACGCAAACAATGAATTAAAGATATGATTTTAAAAATATAGCTAACAAAATTATCGTAAATTGCAAAGAAAATAGTAGATTTAAACAAAAGTAGAAATGATTATGTTAGACCGATAGTATTTCAAAAATATGCATGAAAAAACATACAAGATGACAGCTGTGCTTTTTTTATATAATATTTAAAAATTATAATCAAAATATCTTTTATCTTGTGCATCTATTTCAGAGCTAATATCATCATTTCAGATAAAATAATATTTTTCTTTTAAAATAATTTTAAATTTTATTATTATTTATTAGTAAGATATATGTATCATATATTATTACATGTATTACATGTATTACATACTATTGTGAGTATGATCAACGTAATATTATTACAAATGCTTTGAAGTATTCTTTGATCGATTCGTAAAATTCTTTCTTCTGAATCGGTCAAAATCAAACGCTTCAAAGCATTTGCAGTGAGACTTTGACCGCATCTCGTATATTATGCAATTAATAGTATATAGTTAAAGTTATAATAATTCAAACACAAAATTAAAAAATTTAAAGGAAAAATATATATTATATATAAGATACATTTGTGTGTAAGATAAATTTACACATTGTCTTTGACATATTTCTTACATTTATATTCGCATATAGTCCGTATCTTTTTTTAAATAAAAAATATCTTATTAGTCTTCAGTATTTACTGAGAACTCTCCTATATTCCTCTGCTTTAGCAACAAACCATGGCTGCAAGAAGGTATATCTTTCGTTATCAGGAGCTTCTTCAGTATAACTTACAACATCTCTAATGAATGATGTCCAGCGAAATTTATACATGCATTCATTATAATCTTTAGTGACAATTCTTTTGACGTTGTCTAAAAATATCTTGCAAAATATTTTACTTCTGTTTATATCACAAGACGGCTGCAATATAAATACATAATTTTACATTAATAAATTCTTAAATCAGCATTATTGCACAATTTTAAATAAAATTAT